CAACCTCTCCAATAAAGTAACTTGCTATTGAAAATGATGCACACCAAAAGTTGTTCCTGCTAAAATTCTGATCAGTATTTACATTTTTTTTTAAATTTAACATTTCTAAAACACATTTTCCATGTGATGCATTGTATGGCAACAGCAAATATTAAATTAAAATAAATTTAAATATAGTACACAGAAATAAATATATATCTACTGGTATATTTAAAAAAAACAATAAGAAAAAAAACAAAAAAAACAATAAAGCCTGGTTTATTTTGTGAAAGTGACAAAATATGAGGTTAACATTGAGGTTGAAGAATCATTACTTTGTTCCAATAAACCATTACCAAGCAATAGAACTGATGGAGTAGGCAAGTAAACAGCGCATTTTATTGTGGAAAGCAATATTTATAGCAACCTCTATCGAAAAGTTGAATAACTAGTGTGAAACTGATTTGTTTTTTTTAGTATTATCTATAAATCTATTGGTATCCACTTACCTGTATATGAACTCTGACAAACTCTCGTCTCCCTGTATATTCAAAGTTATTTCTCATCAACAAGTAAAGCAAGGCACATGCTTCATTCCTAGTACTTGATAACTTGGAATTACAACACCGTAAAATCTGTTAACAAAATCAAAATGTTGACTGAAATCAAGAACATGAATAAGAAATACACTACGATAGTAATAGAGAGAGAAATAAAGAATTAACTGTTTGCAATTCACACAACCTAAATACACACACTGTTTTAGATTCAGAAAGCAGGCATAGAAGAGATTATGACTGTTAAGATTTCAAGTCACTATTTGCTCATGATATTAAGTTACAGACAAACTTGTGAACAGATTCATTTTGAGCACTTTCTAGTAATGGTACACAGACTTGTTTTGTTAATCATTGTATTGTTAATGTACAGAACACAAACACTGAAATTACGGGAGAGCAAATCAAGAGAGCTCTGAGAAGTGAATAATAAACTATATGTATACTGTCATTTTGGCAAGGATATATATATAATGTCACTATTTTGATAATGGATTCAAGGAGTTTCCAGTTTTACTGTAATTCATTTCATTTATCAGCAAAAATAAGAATGTTAAAATCTTATGAATAATTAATGCATTTACATCCTGCAAAAAAAACAAAAAAACTTGAAAATGGTTTAAATCGGCAAAATACTTATTTACATATTATAAAAACCTCACACCTGTTGAGTAAATAACCCAAAATGTAGTCTTATTAAATCCAAGTTTTTAGAAAACAAACATTTCTACGGTTGCACACACTGGCAACTCACTGAATCAACAGCTGATAAATGCATTGCTTCTCAAACCAAGCAATTCGTTCCCTCTATAGATGTGAAATGCTGAGTTACAAAACCAAACTTCAACACAATCTGGTAATTGATTACCTGACAAGACTTGAGATACCAGAACACTGTACATTTCTATTACACACTGTGCATGTACACATTTGTAGTAATTTGACACCTTGGACACTAAACATCATTTCCTCAACAAAGCCCCATTCATAACAAATAAATTTGACTGGATATTGATGTTAAAACACATTTTTCAACAATAACTTTTGAACCAGAAAGACAAAAACATGGTTAAAATTGTTGATCGAAAATTATATACCGTATAACAGACAGAAATGTTTTAGGGAGGGTCAGAAAAGTTAAAAGGGATCTGTGAAACCAAG